GGAGCGAGGGACAGAGACTGCCAGAAGGTCCAACTGACGGACCCCCACACAATGATTCAACTTCCTCCCGACTTCTCCTCCCGACTTCTCACTTCCTCTCTGGCCTGCACTCCTCCACAGCTCGGGGAGAAATGTGGCTCAAATTAGAGTTTCCGCTCACTGGGGATGCTGAGAAACAGGATAACAGAGGGAGGGGAAAAGGGAGAGCGAGAGATAGAGGAGACTAGTGGCACTCAGTTTACACAAGTGAAAAGTTTGTAAACTCATCTCTGTGTTCTTGTCACTCTCTGGATCCTCTTGACTGCAAACAGGCCAGTCGGTGGATCCACACACACACACACACACACACACACACACACATATACACAAGCAGGGAAGACAGACAGAGGCAGGACATAACACTCAACAGTTACAAGGTGAGATTACAGCATGGGTGTGCGCCAGGGCATTTTGAAAAAGTGTGGCGGCGTGACTGTAAAGTATCTGCAGCCCACAGAGCTGCCTGGGTAATGACATTCCTCTGATAACCGAGCGAGGTGCAGGAGATGGGAGCCCAGGTCCCATCAATCAGCAGAGACCCCTTCCTCCTCACAGCACAATGACTACAGTGTTCTACATGAGCACCCCGTGTCCCTTCAACTGTAGCTCATGACTGGAGGTGGTGGTGTTGGGGGGGTGGCGACCCTCCCAGAGTGAGCGAGATCACCCTGAGGGTAGAATAAAGGAAAACAGACTTTGGCTACGACTTGATATATTCCTAAACAGGGTGGAGACAGGGTCTTCAAGTATGATAAAGTAATCCACTGAGTTGCAGCCCACTCACTGGGACAAAATGCTAGAAAAAAATGAAGTGGGATTACTATGTGTATGAGTGTGTGTGTCTAAAAGAAAGAGACAGAGGAGGTTTGCTGAGTCAATTACAGGCTTCTGCTCAGCAGAAGGCTTTTCAAAAGCATATCCACCCAGTCTTTGCAGCCGCTCACACAGACACAGCCCCAAAAGCTGTTAAGACACCCTCTCCCTGTCTCTGCCAGCACAACATGTTAGTACAAAACTTAAGTTTCCGCCTGCTCTGTATATGACACATCATTTAGCTAACTTTAAACTGAAACCGACCAACGACCAAAGCGAAAAGAGAATCAGAAAAGGAAGCTAAAAAACACCCCACACTCCAAGAACTGCTCCAGCACAGCACACAGAGACAAGAACCGCTCAAACTTCACACAAAAGCTCTTTTCACCATTTCAAAAACAACACACAAATCTGTCAAGTCACTACAGAAGACGAGGAAAGATGAAAAACTCACGAAAGAAATGTTTGAATAGGTTAGCCATGTCCATTTTGGGCTTCGCTGCTCTCTCCCTCTCTCTGTGTCTTTCCCGGCCCCTGCTCTCTTCCCACTGCAGCTGTAGAGTTATTCCACTGGAACACCCAGAGAGCTGGGCGGACAACAGAGCGGGGCAACCCACTCCCTTGACCATGTGGTCACGCTTAGCCAATGAGAGAGCGAGATAGAGAGGCCTCCAGTCCAGCTCTAGAAGGCAGAGTACAGAGGCCTCATGGAGAGGGAAAGAAGAAGGGAGGAGGAGGGGGGAGTTGAAGCTTAGACTTGAGAGAAAAGAGAGAAAGAAAAGAGGTGAAAAAAGATAGAAAGGGGAAAAGAGGTATTTTAAAAGAATTAAGTGTCAAGCTGATAGTTGGAAAGGGTGCTGGTTTTTTTTGAGAAAAAAAAGAACAGAAAAAAAAGGATCTGTTGCAAAGGCTGAGTGAGTCAGTGAGTGCTCGGCGTCACATGACTGCAGTTGTTTGTAGAGACACACTCATAACTTTACAACAAACCCGGGGAACATGAGTCGTCAAACACAGAAACGCACCATCACACGCACAGCAACCATCTGCAGACAGATCATACCCTCACACATTCTTTCTAACGATGACACCATTCCACACCCAGTAACAGCCTTGTTTAAAAAAAAAAAAAGAAAGGGGAAGAGGGATACATTTTTTTCCTCCCACATAAAGCATATGTCAGTGTGGTCATCAGGCCGCTGCTCCGACTCCTCTCCTACATATATGTTCAAGAAAAACACAACCACCCACAATCTCCCTGTTAAAAATCTCCTAAATCTACTTATCAATCATAAACACCAAGACATGAAGGTGAAGTATTTACAAGCGCTCTATGATTTCATTAGTGTTTAACAAGGTTCAGGTAACTAATGTTTTACATTAGTGTGCATTTTATTGGATATGTGTTAGTGAGTGAGACCTGAGCCAGTGTGTTTTTATGTGTGTCATTCATGCAGCTGTTCACCTGAGGTTATTTGGCCAATGGATAGAGTGACAGGTGGGATGGTAGTGGGCGGCTCATGGCAGTGGTGCATGACCACACATGCTCGTAACGCAAACCCACACACACACACACACCTAACGGGTGGACACACACGCTCATATATGCTCACACAGACACGGAAACAGACGGAGCCTTCTGTCTATACTCAGTGTATGTGAAGACAGACAAAAGAGACAAAACAAAGCAGTACCACTAGAAACCATGAGTGTCCAGTGTAGCCAATTGTTTAAGCAAGACGCTCATAGGACATGAGGAAAAATTATCAACAATGGCAGAACTTTTGAGAAAAGACTTTGCGAGTTGGTAAGAAAGAACATGGACAAACAGTCGCTTTGACCTATTAACAAATACATTGTCACAACCCCCTCCACCATCTCAATGTTTGTAGTTGTCAGAAACTGTCGACTCTGCGCTTCTCAATAGTGGATATATTGTTTAACACCCATGCCAATGTAATGGACGCATGGTAGTTTGTGGGCTTGACGGTTACTTCGTTTTAAAAGGACGCATCTCTTTCCTTTGAACAACCAGTGTAAATGAGCAAAAAAAAACTTGACGTGGAGCAGGTAAACTATTTATGTGCTTGAGTCAAGATAAATATCAAAAGTGTTGTAAATCAAAGTCTTTTTTCTCAGAGACACAAAGTGCTGTCTATAAAAACCATCAAGAGACCTCTTCCGGTTTTTCGTCAGGGTGTTTCTACACACAGTACAGCCTGTATGTCACCACAACATTAACACAAACACTTACAAAAAACACTGCAGCTTACAGGAAGACTCATAACCCGTGGCCAACAGATAAGTGTTTCGTAAACACTGCGTCTATGTGATACAGTTATAAATTCATGAAACACTTCTGGTAAGCAATACTCTGAGGGGGGAAAGCCACCATGGGGTCCAAGACTTTCTGGCAGAGGTCATTCTTTGTGTGTCACCATCTCCACATTAAAGATGCGTGAAGGAGAGGAGACTTAGGCTGCATTAGGACAAGCACTGAACTCTGCAGATCCTCCATATTTTCCCTAAAGGAGGCGCATGTGTGAACACAAGTGTCAGAGTGAGAAGCTCTGCAGTCTTTCTCCGCATGGCCTCCTAGTATAAAGTCAGTGGAAATCCAGGAGAAGTCAATGTGAAATCAGTCAATATTAAAATCAGCACGGGATCCCCCGCTGGATTCACTGCGAGCGAGAAGGGGGTGATGATGAAGCTTCTAAGATGTGACAGATGCAAAAAAAAAAGAAGCAGTGACACACACGTAGAAGACACAGACGAAGATGTTAGGAGAGTTTGCGATGATAATAGTCAACACGGTGTCTGTGTTGTAAAGACAATCATGTGATCTCTGCAGCAGAGTTAATACGTCACTTCCTGCCTGCTGTTGTCGTGTTGTGCAGAGAACCTCCCACTGTGTTGTGAATGTGTGAAAGGAAAACTCTGGATAATTTCCATAGCAAATTCTCTGGATTTTACCCACAGGTCATGTTTTATAACAGTTTTAGTATTTTAACCTGTCTCACAAGTGTGGTCTGATATGTTGCAATGTTGTTTTCAATGGGCCCTTAAACAGCAGATGCTGGTTTTGGCTTTATAGTCAAGCTTTACAGAAAAGTTCAAACTAAAACAAAACGACAGTAACTAGAAGTACAACATTCGTATCACAACCAGAACAAACCGTATGTGAAACCGGTCAACACAATCATGACTCTCAATATCATCTAGCCATTTTTAGTCTGCCTCAAGTCTTCACGGTGGCAAATGCTGAGCAACCTTTAACCTCATCTAATGAGTATCTGAGCCAAACAAACATGGCATTAGTATAAAAGCAAACATTGCTTTTCCATCCTGCCCTTGTTTCAGACACTTACATCATGCAAGATCTCTATATTTTATTCAAATACGAAAGAAATGATCAAACTAAGAAATAACAGGCAAATTGAACACCAAGCTGTCTGGCTGGAGGCCAGTGGTCAGAGAGAGTATCCCAAATGATCATGAGTCTGTCATCAAGAAGAATCGCACTAAGACAAATTGTAACCTTGGCTTACATACACAGTTACGTGTGACTCGCTTCTGGCGTTACAAAGCCCTCGTCAAATGGCAGTGCCCAGAAATATTACTGTTGTGTTGACAGGGGAGACAACACCTGTGCCGCAACAATTCCAGTCATGATATAATGAGCAGGAGTAAATCCTCTTACACACAAACAGAGAGTGAAGGTATTTAGATTTGCTGACATAAAACAGATAAGCTCGTTTTCGTAAGTGCCACAAGTTGCAAACTAAAATTTGTGTTAAAAAATCATATCCAGAAAGTATATGTTTGTCTTACCTGAAAAAATGCTTTGTGGTAAAACACCAGCCGACATGAAACACTAAACTGTAGACACTCCTGTCAGACACTAAATGTTCAAGTGCACTGTGAGGAAAAAAAGTGGCTGACAGTGTTCAACCAATCAGTCATCAGCCTGAGACCATCTTCCTGTACAATGCATTGAAATACCACAACTATGTGGTCAACAACAATCGAAAGTAGAGCAGGTAAAAAAGATTTTTTTTTTCTTATGAAGTAAAGTTGGCCTGGATTATAGAGGATATGAAAATGTCTTGGGAGGGGTATCAACAAGTAGAACAGATTTTTTTTTTTTTTACCAAGTGTATCTTTGAGGTTCTTGACAATCGACGCTTTTCTGGCACTGTTTTTTCTCTCCACGTAGTTGGACGGCACAAAGCCTGTTTTGTTGGTGGCATTTCGAACCCTCCACCAGGACTTGGAGTCATCGAGGAGCCACAGTCGCTCGTTTTTCTTGATGTCCAACTCCTGGTCCTGCTGGGCCATGTAGTCAAACTTGGCGATGACAATCACCTCTTCCGTCATCTTGCAATAGGTTCACTGATAGAGAGCAAAAGAGAAGATGAGAAAAGTTAATATTGATAGACAATTTCAAGTTATTGATCAGTAAAAGTTTCTACTCCACAGTGAAATCCTGGCCATTGTTTCAGACTGTAAAGATAGACATGATGACCCAAAACTGAAGTCAAAGTGTCTCAATCGCCACGCGTGGTACTGCTCTATTATAAACCCTGCATCCTCCATGTTAGTGAATGGGACAAACTAAAAGGTTCTCAGAGATGGTATCTGTTATTTTATGCAGACCTCGCTACCATGCCTCCACATCATGTACACCACATGCGGACTCTGGCCCCTAACATGAGTAAGAAATTAACTTAACTATGTATTATTACTACTCTGCAGATCCTCTCTGTCTGCACAGCCTTCTTACACAATTTATTATTTAGCTGTGCAGTTTGTTTCAACTATAATGATTAGGAAAGAAACACAAAAAGTAAATTTAGAAACTGTTTGGAAATAGACAGCTTTACCTGCACTGCATCAAAGCTGAGAACTTCCAAGGGCTCTGATACGTCTCTGCTGACCTAGAAACAGAGCACAAACAAAGCAGAGGAATTAGAGATTGATTCTGCTCAAAAGTTTTCTCAATATTTCTTAACACATAGAAGTCTGTATTGTTTTTCTGTCTTAACTGTTAACACAGCCTGGCCACTGACTATGTAGTAATGTCTTAAGTGTAGGCTACAGACAGTGTTGTCCAAATATAATACAGCTAGGCCAGAACGTTGATGAAATGCCAGCTTCTGCTTCCATAGTTTATTCTCTGCAGATACAATCTCCCTCCACCACCAATTGTATTCTTGAAATAACAGATATAAATGACTATTCTTCTCAGTCTTCAACACTGAAGGCTGCCAGAGAGTAGAGCGCTAATCTCTCAGAATCGACATTCTTCATGAATTTACAGACGGATGATTTCCTCTAAGGAGCAGTCCAACGATTGTCAATTGTGTGAGGCATCAAACATGAACCTAGGAGATGGGAAGATGGCAGAGATTACTTGATAAGGGAAGTAAAAAAAATGTGCGCTGTGCGTCAGCAGGGTGGAATGCGTCACAGAGTGGATGTCACAGAGTAAGGCTCTCGCTGAACACTAATGATGGAGGATATTATCTTATATTTAGCTATGGCCTTTAAATATATCCTTAGTGAGCAGTCTATATGCATATGCTGTGATTGTGTGAATTACATGAAGAATGACTCCACTGCTGCAGTGCTGCTATTTTCTCGAAGTTCCCTCGGCTAAAATTATGACTTGGGAGTACTGTGAACCACAAGCATAACTTATTCATGTTCAACAATGAGCACATTCACTACAGCTGGTCTTATGACCCATGTAGCTATCAGCACAGTCAGGCTTTGCTTGGGTTAATACTGCAGATTCGCAGTGAGGGAGGGAGTTTGTGAGGCTCCACTGAAGCTGCTGCTGAGCTGCTCTGATGTCATGGGAGTGGATGGAGTTTCACCTTTCCCCCCCCTGACTGAGTTTAGGGACCAGACACTGACCTCATTGATTGAGCCCTCTTGGTTTTTTTTTATTTGAAGCAGCAGCGTCTAAGTTTCAGCTGCAGCTGGCCTTGAGATAGGCCCACAACCTGATCTTAGGCAAACATGGGGAGGATAGGGAGGTCAACGTCTCAGCAGCACCAAGAGCAGTGGAATAAACAATACATGAGTATTAAGTTGAGAGCTGGTGGTTCTTCCCTTCATAAAACAAATCAATACAGAGGATGACACAGCCACATCTCATCTCACCATTTATGGATAAGAGCAAAGATTGTATATAAAGATGGACGACATGACAGCTCATCAAAAGTGAAAATAAATCTTGATATCCTCCGGATGGCTGGCCCTGGTATGAGTCATAAACCTCACCTCCTCGATGTTAGTGGAACCAAAGCACACGTTAAATAAATTCTCAAAAATGTTTCTTGTCATTTTAGGCAGATCATTTTCCCATAAATCTAGATTAAATTATCTATTTGACGGTATAAAAATGGGATCAAACATCATGATTGAAAGCTGAGATGGACAAGCATGTGAATCTGGGGGACTTTGATGCTAGTGCAGAGTCTCTGGCTCCAGAGACTCTGCAGTTGCCAGCACATATCTAGGATTGTATGGAGGAAGTTGAAACCATGAAAAGTGTAGGTCCCAAAGCTAAGATGTAATTCCCCACGAGGGGTGCTGTTGACTTAACTTACCACAAAAAACATCAGGGTGTAAATTGTGGTTTTATCTCATGGCATGTCATTGCCTGCTCCTTTTCCAGCTCTAATTAAATTAATGAACACTAGGAGGCATGTTAGGGAGCGGCACACAAAAACAAAGAGCTGATTTACTCTCCTTGAGTGCTGCCTCTTCCACCAAGACAAAGGCAACAATCCCTCCACTCCCTGGGCTGGGCTGTATAACTGTCTGCCAAAGAGGCTGAGAAGTGAGGATATGTGCTCGGTCTCCATTTACAACATCCCTCCCTGATAATTATTTTTTTTCCCAACTCTCTATTCTACCCAACATGACAGAATCATCAGTGAAGGGCCTGTCCCTTTCCCACTTTCCCAGCTACCTACCATTTTCAGAGAACACATTGCATCTCGGGCTCACTTCCTTTAATTGCTGTCACCCCCCATGTCTAGGGTGGCTCACCACTAAGTGCACATTAACACTGCGGTGACTTATGACAGTGCAGATGTGAGGGGAGGATCAAAAAGTTAGGCGACAGATGCTCGGAGCTAATCACGCAGCTGCAGACTGAGCCAAGGCCGCTCGCCACTCCAAAGCCCTAAACGCAAGGTCAGACAGGTCAAACGGCTCAAATGGTGTCACATTCACGTCCACTGTGGGTCTCCGTTTACCCTGCAGCCTGGCAGAATTAACAGGTAGCCCAATCCATCAGCACTGCCACCGCACACGATGGTGTTCAAGAATAGTCTAAAATAGAATAGTAAAGAAAATCTGCGCAACATATCTGTTGTGATCCATGTCGTCACTTTTTCCCCATGAAACTTAATTCACATACGTTTAATTAGAATTGCAGACCGATGCCAATTTGGTAACATATGTCACAGATGTCACAATGTCATGAATCATTTCTCATATAGATGTTTTGAAGAAGTTACTCCACTTCTGAAAATAACATAGCTACCAAACATAAACACAAAACACAAAAACAGGATCTGCATGTATGAGCTGTGTGGTTGTCCACAAGAGCAACCAGCCTGCGGGGAATGGTTGACAGGTGGTCAAATCTGGTGGCCAGTGGTAACGACAGTGTTTCCCACCTCACTGAGGCCGATACTCCTCGAGTTGTTTCTCCCTTGCAATATTTAAAACTGACAGAAAAGCTACATAAAGACCATCCTGTCCATTCTTACAAATAAGTATTAAATTGAACAAAAACTGAAGGCAATTCAAGGCAGTGGATTCTGTAGTTGCTTCACAATAAGAGATTTCCAGTTAGGTACAATCAGTGTACCAGCAAGAAATTGTCCCTTTTGTGTTAATACTGTTTAAACAGCATCTGACTTTGTTGAAGCTCTCATAACACTGCAAAATAATAACAGTATTGTGTGATAACAGTTAATGTTATTTAGCAAAAAAAACATATTTTAAATTTTTTGTTAAATTGTCATTGAAAAACGTGCATACAATTATCAAGACCTCCAGAAAGTTTGCTGAGATCATTACTGATCTGAAGTGGCATTAAATCAATATGTGATAAGCCATTTGTCTGATTAACAGGTCAAAACCAGAAGACATTTTAATCAACAGTGATATAAATCAGAGAAAAAGCAACAAACCCTTACAATTGATAAAGTGGAACTGGAAAATATTTGGCATTTTGCTAAAAGTCTGAACAAAACAATGAATAGTTTTGGATGTGATTTGTGTAAAAATAAACATGTTTGTTTGTTGATAATAATACTGTGAGACAAATTAGTGGTGAGCATATTTGTGTCTCTAAATAGTCCTATATATAAATAGATAGAACTGTAAACTACTAAGTACCAAAATGATAATGTGGGTCCGTCTTATCTCCTGCCATAGCAGCAGCTGTGGCCCAGTGATAGGTCAACCAGTGTAACAATCAGTAACCCACTCGTGTTCTCAAGAGTGTCAACACTGATCACAAATGTTTCCCATCAGCAGATGACCACACATCCTTATCTACGACTGTTCTCTAAACTAGTTAGTGATTTTATAGTTAGATTTCAGCTAATACACTTCCACTAGTTCATAAATTTCACAGAAGCAACTCTGCAACACTGTCGAAACCACAACAACTGCGGATCAGTGGTTTAACAGAGATGCATGAGTGCAACTTTGCGAGTTCTGTTACTATGAAACAACAGTGACATGAGTTCACCACATCCTGCAGTGTACAGCTGCTGCCACAATCCCTTGTGTATCTGCAGGAAAAGAAAACACATACATGTACGATCTTGTCCAAGAGCACACCCAGTGGTCTATCTGGTAATACATGAAACAGGGACACTATACTAGAGATATGCATGAGAAGGAAGGATGTGGAACAGTATTTTTTTAATTTAGTATTATTTTTAACGAAGATGCTTGTTAATGGCCCTGATTTTATTCACCAGACTGACATAAGAGGTTGTTAACAATTAAGTCACAACAACTGGATACTGTATAACCTAAACAAACGTGTCTCTTCACATTGAGAGCAAATAATGTATCGCTGCTCAGCAGGATTGCTGAGGCACTGAGACAGCAACAGCATGAGCTCACAGAGGCAGACAGAGTAACCTAATCCCTGTGACAGCCTGCTAAAATCACAGGGCTCTGCTGCCTTCTGGAATGTGCTCTGTATGCTCGCTGCTCGCTCAGCCCCTCTGGCTATGCTGCACTTCCTCCAGCTTACACCAAAACGTACATTTTAGCCTTGGGTCAGGACTGCTCTGCTAAACGGACAGTGCCGGACGGCGACCGGCGAATACTCGCTTGTGCTCTTTTTTTTTTCTCTCCACATTGAATTGCGGTAACTAAAAACCATGAGACTGCATCTCACCCCAGCTGTCCTAGATTCTCTCAAAACAAAACAGCAGCATAGCAGCAAAGGGTCATGGGAGACTTGGCAGGCCAGCTGTGAGACAGGAAATGTGGACACAAAGGTGACCGGATGATGGGAAAGTGATGCAATCTGACGGAGTGCAGGCTCGACCTATGAGTCCAGATAACTTATCTTTTTTTTGCATTGATGCATGTAATGCATCTCATTTAAGAGACAAGAAATCATGGCTGGGATTAATGTTAACTTAAACAATGGCATTGCAGGAGGAATACAGACTTTTTCTAGAACCATATTAAAACTTAATCAAGGACTGAGGGGCCTCTGCTGTTTGGGCTGTACATATAGGCTCATGACTGTGTGAAAGCAGTTGGTTATCCACCCCTCGGGATCACCCTCAGTAGATGGAAATGGCCTAAAATAGACCATGGCTCATGTCCTTTGAGAATTGCCAGAGATTTTCTCTCATAGCAACAACCAACACCAAAAGTT